AATTTTTGAATGATTATAAAGATATCTGTGAAGTAGCCTCTGGTAATACAACGGTAAGTTTTTCCATTTTTCTTTCATTGCACTGCTCATCACAACTTGAGTTTATTTTATCATCTCTACTAATCTTTGGTCTTTTTTTCTTAGATTACTGGAAGTGTTGTAGGTATATCCTCAAAGCATGGGTTATATATAACTGAGAAAGCCTTTGAAGGAATGTCTAATCTCCAGTTCTTAAGAGTCGGATACATTTCTGAGAATCAAAGCATTATATCTTCCCCGGGTACTCTGACTTTTATATCTCCGAAACTACGATTTATAGATTGGTGGTATTTCCCGATGACATCTTTACGTTTTATTAATAATTTGGAATACCTAGTCGAATTAAGAATGAATGGCAGCAAACTTGAGAAGCTGTGGGACGGAATCAAAGTAAGTCATTTAAATTTATTTATTGTTTTAAGTTTTAGTTTTGTATGTAGAATATCCTCTCTTGTACATTAAATTAACTTGAAAGATTATATTTTACTTGCCACTTCGTTTCTAGCATGAAAATGTATATATTTTGTTAATTATATGTGTATTTTGTCATGTGTATCAACGTAATGGTGTATTTTGTCATTATTTTGTCGTTCCAATTGCTATGTGTATCAACGTAATGGTGTATTTTGTCATTATTTTCCTTTACAGCTGCTTCGAAATCTCAAGCGTATGGATTTGTCAAATTCTGAAAACCTCAAGGAGCTTCCTAATCTCTCAATGGCCACTAGTCTTGAGGTGTTAGTACTTAAAAGATGTTCAAGTCTGGTGGAGCTCCCTTCTTCTATTGGGAATTCAACTAATCTCTCCACATTATTACTGCATGGATGTTCAAGTCTAATGGAGCTCCCTTCTTCTATTGGGAATGCAACTAATCTCTCCACATTATATCTTCGTGAATGTTCAAGTCTATTGGAGCTCCCTTCTTCTGTTGGTAATTTAACTAATCTCCAGGAATTATCACTTGAAGGATGCTCAAGGCTTGTATCACTCCCACAGCTTCCAGATTCCCTAAGGATTTTAAATGCAGAAAATTGTGAGTCCCTAGAGAAACTAGATTGCTCCTTTTGCAATCCAGGTATTTGGCTTAACTTTGTTAACTGCTTCAAACTAAATCAAGAAGCAAGAGATCTCCTCATCCAGACATCACCTGTTAGATTGGTGGTCTTACCCAGTAAAGAAGTGCCTACGTGCTTCTTCTACAGAGGTTATGAGAATTCCGTAACAGTGAAACTGAATCAAACTCCTCTTCTTACATCAACCAAATTTAAGGCTTGCATCTTATTCAAGGACGAAAATTTTATTTGTTGGGACACACTTTGTATGTATACAAAGAAGAATAAGGATTGCATCTTGTTGGATAATAGGGGAGTACATGAGGATGGAATTCAGGAACGAGGATCGGTGTCTTATTGCATCAAAGAGAAACTAATGACTCCACCGAGCGAATTTATACTACCGAGCGTATTTATACCACCGTTCTTAAACCGCTATCCAATTAGAAAGGAGCATCTATACATTTTCGAAGTTGAAGTAGAGGAGGTGACTTCCACCGAGCTTGTTTTTGATTTCAGGATCGAAGATTATGAGGATTCCAGGACTGGAAAGATAAAAGAATGCGGTATAATCCACATCTTGAAACATCATGTTGATGGCGACGAAAAGATGGCGATGAAGATGGAGACAATTGAGATCTGAGACAAACATTGAAACTCAAGGGAAACAGAGAAGCCACAAGACAAAATTGCAAGGACGAATGGTCAGTTTGCATTTTCACAACTCAAGAACTTACTTTGTTTATAAACTTTGCATAACAACTGTTCAATGAAATGTCTAAATGAGCTTTTTTAGTTTTAAGCTTCTGGTTTTTATGTTCTCTGTATGAATGAAGACATGCTATTTTATTCTATATGAATAGGTGAACATTTGGCCTCTCAAGTTTCACAATTCTTTATTTTGCTGCAACTTTTTTTGTAGCATATATTGGCCTCTTGAAATTTAATTATCTTTAATTATGGTTTAATACAGGTATAATTTGTATGGGACTAAGAAGAACAAGTATTAAATGAGGTTTATTGGGTGACAAGGGACCTATATAGAAATTTAGGTGTTTATGCATTTCAACGTGTATTGAATTTTGTGGGTAAGTGTAATGGATTTGCTCATTCTATTAGACGCTGTAACTGAATCATGCTGTTGGATTGTGTTGTATTAGGAAGCGAATATGGGCGGTCACGGACAAATGAATTCAAAATTTGGCGATGGAATTGGAAATGTGGAGGCCATTGATTTTTCCAATGCAAAACAGAAGAATCTCAGGAGGTCTTTTTTTTTTTTTTTTCCTGCTAAGAAGTTTCAACAGCCATTTCCACTTCCCATTCTTATCGATAATATTCAATTTCAACTGAAAACGAAGAACTCATGGCTAATCATATGCTGACAATTTAAGAGTATGTTATCTTTCATGTTAGGTGATGTGTGAATGTTTTGGCGGACCTGATGGAATTTGTTAGGAACAATGAAGCGGAACTGATAGAATCAACCTGGATGCTGAGGAGATCTGCGAGACAATTCAGTAAGCTCTTTTGGCTTGAACGCATGTTTTATATGGATATTGGTTTATATGAGGGATCTCAACTCTTTGAAGATGAAAATGAACAGAAATTTCTATGTTGTAATTGCAGGTTACATGGCAATCTTTTACACCACAAGGAAAATACAACAAATGGTCAGTTTGCATTTACAACCCAAGAATCAGGAACTTACTTGGTGTGTTTTGAGGCCGATGCTAAAAGTCATGGTAACAGAGATTTTAGCATCAACATCACTAAAGTACTAGAAACAACACTTTTCTATACTTTCTTTCTCTTGATGTTCTCTTTGGAACAGTTAGTGTAAAATTTTGTTCACTCATTTAACTTGTAATTTGTCTCCTATTACATATAATTTATAGGAATCCGAACTAAATTTCTCTTGATAAAATATGAACTCCTGGTGTTCCCGTATGTAACAAATTGCAAACTATGAACATTCAACAGACAACACAGAGTTGTGACTTGAGAATTAAAAACAGAGGACTTTGTTGGTATGAAGTTTCATAGTATAGACAGAAGACTATGTTTCACACAGAGTTACGAAAAAATCTGAAGAAATCAATTGATCCATTTATGTAGATGTCGATGGGATTGAAAAGAAATTCTTTTCTTTATTAGGAATCACTTAAACAATCTAATAGATCTGTTTAATCAGATTTACACGACGTTGATACAACTCGTCACTGACCAATTCCTAATCTACCCAATCTCACAAATACAGCAACAGCTATGCTAGACACTCTGATCACTCACCAAGAACCCTAACAGCTTCTAGCCTAGAACGTGTGATTCACAGAGATGGGGAAAACGGGCAACCTAAGCCTAACGCTTAGATTGCCAATATATAGGTAGCCACACAAACGCAGCTAACATAATTTCCTATTCTAAGATATCTTCAAATCTTCTTTCCTTGATTTGCTTATATCTTGAATAACTTGATTCTCACGTTCTGGAAACTCCAGTCACCAATCGCAGCTTGCCACGTCATCATCATTTAATGTCTCGCAGCTTCCCGCATACAACTATCTCATGTGTTCCACAGGATCGTCTTGTAGCCAGACATACATATGTCTTCAATCTCCCCCTTTTTGTTTAAATGTGACAGCTCAAGCTCCAGAGTATCCTGTCAAGGTTAGTTTGACAAACATCAGCCAAAAACGAGTGTATATTTCAAGATCAAAACCAGACTGCAAAACAGATCACCATATTCTCCCCTTGCTTGAGTGCACATTCAAGTAAAAACAGACTCAAGACATTCCAGGACAGGAGAGGCAGTGTCAAATGACAAACCCTGAAATTGCATCAAAGAGTCACAAATCTCATCAGTACACATAATTGGTGTCTACCGGTGAGACAAAATTGAGCCTGACAAAAGATATTCCCTCTGCAATTTAAACCAGACACTCTGTGTTGCACAAACATAATCTGTTGAATACAGAAAAACGTGCATCCATCAAGCATACAGAGAACAGGAAGTGACCATGTTAAAGATCCAGATATGCTGACCAAGAAACAACATTTAAATGTTAGATTCATTGGGTTGCCACTCAGTAGATGCACCCACAACATGCATTTGAACACAGATTTCATGAAGCAACATGATGTGCACATGAGCAAGCACAACGAACTCAAAACAGGTTCAACCCACCAGCTCAGTGAAGTAGCTATTTCTCAGATGAGGAGCTTTCACACACACTGCTTCACTCAGATTAGTCAGATTTCTTTTCCTTAGAATAACATTTATATTTTCTTTAGAAGTGTCTCTAAAGTGATTAGCTGTTAAAGAGTAAATAGCTACAAATTCCGTTAATAGTGGAGGGACAATGATTACTCTCATAAACCTTTATGTTCACATTAATTTCTTTATAAAGATTAATTGATGGTTCTGAGTCTTTTAGAGAGTGTTGTGTGGATTTCAGCTTCTCGTTTATGTCGTCTGTATGACTAAGAACTGTTACAATTGTTTGTCAAACATGTAATAAACTTGAAGGTGAAGTTGAAGATCTAATTTACCTACTTAAGAAATAGGTACAAAACTTAATTAATCGATACATTCTTTGATATATGTGTTTTGTTTGTCTTCTCAATTCATGGCAATACATATAAAAAATGTTTGTGATATTTAGATGTTCAGTAAAAACTCTCTTGGATCTGATTAAATTGTTGCTCTAGGCACAAAGTAGAGCCGTTTCAATATGCATTTGCCAAGTGAATTGTGTCTTTTACGATATGGCAGAAGAGAAATCACACAGCTACATGTCAAATTTAACAAAATGGAGATTTTGACAAAGCTCTTCTCATATTACATGATCATGGCACATTACACTAGAGATCACATCCACACAAGCTTTATATTAGTTTATAAGACGAAAATGGACTAAATTTTTGTTATAACGCCAACCAAAACTTGATTCAAGCAAGAAGTCCAAAAAAATTCCATTTCCCTGCAACCAAAACAAAACAAAAATCTCTATTAATCATATAACTACAAAAGGAATTAAATCATAATCCATAAAAAATCAAGAAGAAATCTAACATGCACCACAAGCTGACACCGGAGGAGCATAAACTTTACAAGCATCGGGAAGAGTAGTAGCCTTAGTAACGTTAAGTTTGATTCCGTAAGAGGCACTGTTCTTCAACCCTTCGCAAAGACATTCCGGTTCCGTATCGAGAATATTCTTGAGACTGGAGCAGCACGAACTTGAGGGTGTATCCATCGTACTCCCGATCGTTATAAATGATAAACATGGGAACAGGGGAACAACAAGGGTACACCCGGAGGCTGGTATAATGTTTCCATGAACATAAGGAGAGGAAACAGAGAGGACTAGGAGGAGAAGAGATGTCGCTGCGGAGAAGAAAGCCATTGTTTTGGTTCTCTGTTTTGGTTACTGCTTAAGAATCTAGAGAGGAGAAAATGAGAATTGTGGTGGAATGAGTGAAATGTGTTGTGTTTAAATATGGGTTTAAGTGATAGAGACGACGTCGTTTTTATGTACACGTCATGTGTTAACACGTCATTTTTTGGTTCTTTCAGTGTAAGATTCTGCTCATTTTTATTTGGATTTTATTTTATCCTATATTAAGAGCTTTTTATCATCGAAATTAACGTTATTACCAAAATGATTTGATTTTAAAGAAGAAAACAAAAAAAAAGTAGAAAAATAAAAATGTAATTTCTTAAAACGATTTTCTTAAAGTAGAAAGATTTGTATTCAAACTTTGCTTTACTATATATACTACTTAGATTTTGTTTTTTTTCTGCTGTAATCTTCTGTCAAAATCTATAAATGGTATAAAACTTAACATTTATACAAAAAAAACAAAAGTTTATATGCTAAGATTTTCTTTTTAACTAACTTGGTTTATATGTTTAAAGACTAATTAATTAAATATAGTAAACAAGTTTTATCATTTTGCATACAATTATTCAGTGGGTCAGTTTCTCATTGTATTTAAGATAAGAGATTGGTTCGGTTTGCACAAAAAAAAATGGAGATTGGTTCAAACTTCAAATGTTGAAACCTGCGTGTTGTTGTTATTGAATTTTAAAAAATTAAAAAACTTTTTTTTTCTTTCTCAATGTCAAAACTATGAGTTCTTTCGAATAAAGAATGAAAACAAAATTAATGTAACAAAAATAGTTAAAGACTATCACATATTTTCGATATCTTTCAAGATTTGAATAATTAGTTTTTCCTGATTTAGTATTACTTAATTCTAGTCCTGAAATGTAGTTTTACTGAATGTATAACGATTGGTCGTAACTTTGTGAAATGGGTTTGAATATGTTTGTATAACGTCAAAGCGAGAACATAGCAAAAAGTTAGAATGGTTATGAGTCTTTTAGAGTATGTTGTGTGGCTTCAGCTTCTCGTTTATGTTCTCGTATGACTGAGGTCTGAGGACATGCTATTTTATTTTATAGGAAATGACTTTTTTTTTTGATGAACTATTACAACCTGTGGAGGTTTTTTCTCTTTTCTTTTTTTTTCTATGTCAGTTTAATAACCAAATTGAATTTCCTGAGAAGAAGTTTCAATAGCCATTCCCGCTTCATTGATCATTTATGAGATTGTTTTGTTTTTTAGAATCTTACTAATGATCAATGTTTTAAGAAAGAATAAATCACCATATTTTGCATTCCCGGAAGATGGGAGCAAAGTGATCCGGTTGCGAATGTTCGTGTTGATGTTTTTCCAAGGCTTGATGTTGTTTGAGGTTCTTTACCATGTCTTCTGTTATTTCTCTCTCTCCATAGTCCATATGGTATGGACTGCAATTTGGAACGTGTATCGCAGAAGTAAAAGAGCCTTCTTTTCGGTTGTCTCATATGTTATGAGCAAAATGATTTGATCCCAATCCAAGGTGTGACTATCTTGAAGTATCCCTTTTACTAACTCCTCCCATACTTGTCTTGTATACGGGCATTGAAAGAAGAGGTGGTGTCTTGTCTCAACCGGTTCCTGACAAAACGCACAAGATGTATTCACTTGGGTCTTCCACTTTCCCATTCGTTCACCTGTAGATCATTTGTCATGCATTAATGCAAGCCATCTAATAAAAGCGTATTTAGGCGTAGCTTCAGGAAACCACACTCCCTTAGCACAGCTGCAGATTGGATGCTCATCTCTCAAGAGATTCCAAGTCTCGTTGGATGAGAATTTGGATTTGAAACCATTCTTCCATCTCCACTTGTTAACGTACATCTAACTCTGTTTTCCGACTCAGCCGCAAGGCTTCTATTTCTGCTTCAACCTTATTTAGACTCTCCACTCGATGTCATCTTCCTCTATGCTTACTCAAAACGGCTTCCACAGTGGCTGTTTTTGTTATCCCTAGATCAATACGGCCCGTATCTCCAAAGATATCTGATAACTTTCCCAAAGAAGACCAAAATGATGTGCCACGGCCACTATTTATTTCTACCATATGACCAAATTGCAAGGGAGTTAAGGTTGTATTGAACCCAGTCTGATTGAAGTATCATATTCCCACACATACTTTGATTTTACCATAATCACGTATATGTTGTTTATGGATTAAGAATCATATGTCGTCTTTAGAAGTGTCTCAAAAGTATGGCTATATATAAAAGTATTTTGGTAATGTTGTTTATGAATTAAGTATCATATGTCGTCATTTTTCCTTTTATAGCTATTAGATGTTAAATTGTATATAGCTTTAAAAGGAAAAATGCTTAGTAAAACCCTCAACTTTCCTAAAATCATATTAAAATCTCTTAACTTTTTTGTGGGTTTTTTAATTCTCACTTTTTGATAAATGAAAAATAAACTCTAATATTAATAAACTCAACTTAAATTCAAACAAATCTTTATATTAAAACAGAGATTTTATAAAGTAATTTTTAAATTTATGATTTATGTTTTTATTTTGTCACCCACACATTAATTAAAAAATAACTTCTTAACTGGTTGCCCAATTAGGAGGATAAGAGTTTACAAAAATAACATCAAAAAATAAAAGTCTAGAAGAACGGGCTAAGCAGTCCGCTTGAATATTACATAAACGAGAAATAAGAGAAAGCGAGAAGAACGGAAAAGAGACTCGGAATAATCCAAAATCATCTAGCAGATTGGAGAAAGTGGGCCAATTGTAATACCCCGGTTTTAGAAATATGGTGGTACATGCATAGAGGTTTAAAAGAATTGATTTGGCCATCTATGTCACCAGAGTGCTCTTATCTTTTCGGTCAACTGCCCTTTGAGAACTCTACAATTAAGGGTGCTTGAGCTGGAGCAATTTCAGGATGGGTGACCTTTCGGTAAGTGATTGTTAGAACTATGTGAGTGAGGACAAAACACAGGGAAAGATCATGTGGTGATTTGTAGGGTCGGTAAACAAGTCTTTAAAGCTTCCCAGACGTAGTGGACCGGCCGTCAGAAGATGGTGGGCCCGCGGGCCGAGAGAGGACGAGGGGTCCATTAAGAGAGATGACTGTCAGGGCGTTACAAGTGGTATCAGAGCCGAACCCAGACGAGTGTAGAGTCAAGAGGGCTCACACCGTAGGGGGTGACAGTCTTGGTGCGCAAGAAGGACGTTGCGATCTGTTAGTGGGGGTGAATTGTAACACCCCGGTTTCAGGAATATGGTGGTGCATGCGGAGAGGTTTAAAAGAATTGATTTGGTCACCTATGTCACCAAAGTGCTCTAATCTTTTCGGTCAACTGCCCTGAGAGAACTCCACAGTTAAGGGTGCTTGAGCTTGAGCAATTTCAGGATGGGTGACCTTCTGGAAAGTGATTGTCGGAACTATGTGAGTGAAGACAAAAGACAGGGAAAGATCATGTGGTGATTTGTAGGATCGGTAAATAAGTCTTTAAAGCCTCCCGGACGTAGCTGACCGGCCGTCGGAAGATGGTGGATCCACATACCAAGAAAAGACGTGGGGTCCATTAAGAGAGATGACGGTCGGGGCGTTACACCAATCTTCAGAAATTTGGCCACCTAAGTTTTTGCGATAGAAATTTTATACAACATTTAGTTGAAATTAGGCAAATCAGTTTCGTTACTATTAAAAGTTGTGTTATATAAACTATAAAATTTTAGGATAGTAAATTCGATGTTTTTGGTTTAATTGTTTGAGTTTTTCGAAATGGTCAAAATTATGACAAAATTCAGATTCAATTGGATTTGGTTTATGTTTGGATGGAAATTTAGTTAAATAATGATTAGTTATATGTAATTCATATTATATTTTAATATATGTTAATTTTATATATGAAAACTAAAATATTAACTGAAATATTTCGAGGTGGAAATTTATGTACTTTTCATAGTATTATAAAATTTGGTTTGGTTTCACCTTAGTAAATTTATGTGATCGAACCAAATATGCATGTATTAATATATATTTATATTCGGTTCGGTATAATAATTTATAGATCACAAGTAACAAAATTGGTTTAATTTCACGTTGATGAATTTTTGTAACACAACCAAATAAAACTTCATTAATTAACTTTTTTACATCATGACTAAAAAAATTTCAATTTATTTATAGATTCTAAACTAGAATTTCGTAAGAAAATATATTGAATTTCAATTTTTCGTTGTGGTTTCTTCCATAGAATTAGAGTGTCTTATGTCGTAACCAATTGCTGAGTTATTTATTGGGTTCTGCAAAAAAAAAAAAAAAAAAAAAAAAAAACTCTCCTCCTCAAAAAATACAGATAAATCATACGAAGTAAGAAAAAAACATAATATAAACTTTATATGTATATTGTATATGTTTTCACAATCACATACAATATATATTTTAATTATAAATGTTGAGTTAAACTCCTCGTCGCGAGGGCTTCGATTTAACATATTAATTATCAAAATTTTACAAACTTGAGAGTAACGAAAAATGTTACATTTAACTTGGTAGGATTAATTTTATTTTTGGAAGTGAGGATAAATTTGCAAAAAGTGGCGAGTTTGAAGATTTTTTTGCGTAGACGCTAAGGTATGAAAGTCAGTCGTTGCAAATAAAGTGACCAATTAAATTTCTGAAAGGAAATATCAAGAAATTTAGCCTAAAAATTAGATGGAGAGAGAGAGAGAGCTGTTAATGAGGGCTGTTTCCTCTTTAACAAGACCTTTTGGGAATAACTCTTACTTAGTCTAAGCTATATTTTATATTTTATGAGCAATTGTGCTCTGTTTTGAGCTGTCATGCTCTGTTTTCTGTTTTTGAATCTTTCCTTTGGTTTTTAATGTAGTTTAGACGGCCACAAAAAAAAAAAAAAAAAAAAAAAAAAAGAAGAAAGAGGGCTGTTTCAAAGCCCCAAACGTTACTTCCTTTGTCAACTCTTGATTTTGCGTATAAGCAAAAAAAAGACATGAGTATAATAAGCCTATCAATCGGATATTTTGGATTTTTTTTTTCCTTTGTAGTAAGGTGAAAAAGAATTGGTGGGTTG